GATAATTTTTAAGGGTTTACAAGCTTGATATCGCAACAAAAGAACAACACTTTTTGGTGCTTTAAAGAACCCTTTTCAAAAAGGTTCTATATAGAACCATCTACAGCACATTCTCCATCAATCTGAAGAACGCTTTCATGATGCAAAGAACCCTTTAATCATACAAAGAGTTCTTTGAGTGTTCATGGTTCTGTATCGAACCATTTTCTTCACTGAAGAACCCTTGAGGAGCCATCTTTACAGATACTGAGTGTAAGCAATGAAGCTACATAAAGATGCAGAGCCGTTATTCTTTACACAGAAAGGAGAAGGGTGTGAAATGTGTTTGGGATGCGTTCACACGGAGGAAATGGATCATTCTATCCTCCGCTTCTCTGTCAGGTTTATAGATCTGATGGTTTTCTCCTCGCTATCTTCCTCTCACAGGCAGATTTAGAGCCCTGCGTTCCAGCTGTTGTTACCTTCAAGGTGACTCTGCTTGAAAAAGCTCCAGCACAATGCATTAGCACTCCCCCTGTTTTATAGGCGTGAAAACTCCTCCCATTAGCTACTTAAAGCCGCGAGCATGCAGCAGTAGAAGAGGCGGCGCAGTCGTTGGTGCTCCAACAACGACAGCCTCCAAACAACAGCAGCAGTAGTTTGAGGAGTGTAGATTAATGAGCTTTAATATAGCTGTAATATTGTCATTACAGCTGAATCAAATATCTTGCCAGCTTGCCTATATCAGTGTTTTTGTAGTATAAAAATGATTTGCAGTATAGCAAGTTTGTAGTGTAGCAGTTTTTCCCTACTTTCAGATCACGGCTTTTCTCTCTGTACATTCCTAATAGGCCCATATCTAACATCTTTTTGTGTTTCAGTTTTTCTCCTGAGGTCCACTCAGAACATTTGTGTGCTTTTCTGCACCAAAAGCAGTCATAATCATTTTTACATGTCCATTTTCCAATCCTTCTTTATCTCTTAGAATCAAACAGGCTGTTTTAGTCACTGTGCCTTTAAGACTGATATATGTAAATGAGTTCTGTTCTGATTGGCTGCTGTGTATTGAGCCTCATTCAAGAAGCAGTCCAGGCTGAAACACTCCTGTAAACTTAAGCACTAAACTACTGTAGGCTAAAATAGGTGGAAATATGTAAATATGTTGGTTTTTGTGACATCAGAGAAACTAAATTTTACATTGAGCTGTTTTTGGAGCTCAGTTTCCATACATGGACTTAATAGACTGGGGGGGTGATACATTTTGAAACTTTAACCCTGTTTAAATGCATCAAACTCTGTTTTAAAAAGAAAGTGAAGAAAATGGTAAAGTGCCAAAAAGAGCTCTTGGCACGATTTCATCAACTTTGAGCTCCCTGAAAATTTTTTCCTTTAAGTGGTTTCATTTAAAATCTTATCCATTCAAAGGTTCTTTGAGTGGTTCTTCTATGGCATCACTCCAAAGAACTGTCTTTGGCACCCTTTTCACTGTTTTTGAGAATGTAGCCATTTCATTAATGCATAAGCAGGTATTTGCTTTGTTTCGAGTAAATATACCCAACAAGAAGTATAAATTATGTTACTTCTTCATTTATGTAATTGTATTATACCTAAGTAGACATTCAGCCGTTCAGAGCTTTAGTCAATATCTGTTTAAATAATACATTGAGTGTTTAAATGTGCTTTAAATGATGTAAGGATGGAGGTTTCAGACAAAGCAGTTGTATTTCTATCCTTATATTGGCTATTTAGTGGACAGATTGAGGACTAAATAGTAGTCAGTGACAGTATATAGAAACAAGAATGTACACTGAAAAAAGAGATGCACTGTATTTACCTGATTCGAATGTGTTTATCATTTGTATGTGAATTAAATATACTTGATAAACAGAACTTTGCTTTTCAGTTTACTTATAGTGATTTGTAAAGGTTTGAATACCTCCAGCCAAAATACGTGTTGATTTTCTGAGTGAAAAGGAGTTAACACATCCTCTACAGAGAACACACTTAAATATATCTCCTTAATCTGCAAGTTTTAACTTCTATTAATTTGTGAGTTCAGCATATTGGGGGGAAAAAATTAAAAAAATGATATGTGCCATAACTTTTGCACAGGCTACATTTTGTGTGTATATGTCAAATTCAGCAAAATAAAATGTGTTTTAAAATGTGCAGAACTGTGTTGTCTGTAGAGCATGTGTTAACTTTTTTCACCTTGAAAATCAACAAAACACAATTTCAAAAGAGGTGCCTAAATTTTACATATGACTGTAATTTTGGCAGTAAAAAAGTGTTCTTTAATCAGCCAAGCTTATTTCTCTCTTAGCTAGGAGTTTCATTGAAATATCTGACAGTGAGATGTAGTCCAAGACACAAAGAGAAATTCCACAGGTTTTTCAAAACAGTGGTGATGCGATCTGGGGGTCGTTGTATAGCTGTTTTATTTACTTTCCAAAATGACCAGTGAACCTACATGTGTCTTCTAAGTTTATTATTGTGTTGATAATGGTAAAAATGGGGGTAAATAAAAAAAAATAAAAACTTTGCGCTCTATTTTGCGCCCGACATGTACCCATCCGCCATGAATTAATTTATATAAATTATATGTTTTATATGTTCAAAAATCCTATCTCAAAACTATCTTAAAACAGCATTATAACAGAGATTGTAGATCATCTGTTGCTGCACAGTCTGTGTTAGTCATCCTCATCAGTGGTCACAGGACGCTGTTGGCTGGATATTTTTGTTTGGTGGACTATTCTCAGTCCAGCAGTGACACTGAGGTGTTTAAAAACTCCAGCAGCACTGCTGTGTCTGATCCACTCAGACCAGCACAACACACACTAACACACCACCACCACGTCAGTGTTACTGATAGTAAGTGGACCTGATAAAATGGACAGTGAGAGTAGATACAAGGTAGGTCTTCCTAATAAAGTGCTCAATGAGTTTATGACACCTGGTTGAACAGTTGAAAGTTTGTTTAGCTTGTTTAATAACATCTCCGGCTTCTCTTACATTAGATGACCTTTTCAGTTGCATCATCGTCTCTCTCGGCTCCTGCGTCCCTTGTTTGTTCAGTTATGTCGAGCGCACGCAACAGTTGCAAAAAGCATCTTGTGAATGGTGATTCAGTGTGTTGTCAGCATCTCGGCTCAGGTTGCTGAGAGGCGTAACGTAATCGCGTGCTGCGGTGCGCTCCAAGACTGGGTGTTCAGTTCCCTGCGCTGGAAACAGGAGCGGCTCGGGGATACGAACAAAAGCCCAAGGCTGTGGTTGCTGTTCACCGTGAGCTACCTGCTGTGAAGACAGTTAGATACTGACTCCAGATGACCATGAACGGGACCACCTGAAGGAATGATTCAGGTTTTAAATGTCCAAGTGGTGTCTGTAGACAGCTGCAACATTGAGCTTCATGCACACCTGGTATGATGTTTAGATTCAACAGGGCTGGCAGAGATCAAGCCTGAGGGTGTCTAATTGATCCCAGTTATCAACTAAATTTGGTTAACGGGTCAGTTGAGTTGCTAGGGGGCAATTACTTTTTCACACAGTGTCATTGGTGCTGGAAAACATTTTTTTTTTTTTTTCATGAATGAAATGATCATTTATAAACAATATTTTGAGTTTATTCTGATTCTCTTTGTCTTATATTAAAAATTGGTGTGAAGATCTGAAACAATTGTGACAAATGTAAAAACAGAAGAAATCAGGAGGGTGCAAACTTTTTCACAGAGCTGTGTTGCCCTTTTAGAGACCTTCCTCTTTAAATATATAAAGCTTTGACGGCCTCAAGTGAGGGAGTTTTGCATTTTAACACAGAATGTGAGTTCATGCAGTGATATGAATGTAAATTAGGGGTTTATACAGTCGTGTGGAGTAAGTCGGCTGTTGTGGTCGAGTCTCATTGGCATGCTAGGGGAACGCGAACCATGGCAAATGTCAAGGCTCCATTCATCATTATTTGCCTCTAAATCTTTAATCAAATCCCTTTTGCAATGAAGTATCCTCCACCATTGATTAGACTGAATCAAATATGGCTGTAGTGATGTCAGTCATGATGTTATTTCTTGCTAAGGTTCACACTGTACTGTGCAAACTTCAGAGACCACTGTTTCATTTTTTTTTATTTCCAGTCAAAAAGGCTATTATATCATTGAATTATTCATTTTATTCACGGCTGTTCAAAAAAAAAAACAAGTATCTCCATAATACTAACTTTATAGTAGAAGAATACGTTTAACTTCTAATATAAGTCAACATAAAGAGGTTATATTCCAAGCGATTTTGGAGCATTTTTATTGGTCATTCATTCATGAAATTTTTACACAATGTAAAAAGCAGCTGCTGTGCTTTAATGATGCAGAAAAGTAAACATCAGCAAATTTCACAGAAGCTTCAACAACTAAATGTAATATCATTTTTTTAGTATTCGCTGCCCACTCCACTCATTTCAAAACACTTGCTTTCAAAGAAATCTGAAGAGATATTTTTACACACCTCCAAAGTTCAGTCTTAGAAGTTGGTTGAATTTTCTGCTTCTCACCCAATCAGTAACTTAATTGCTTTACGTCTCAGATGTCCAATGTTTTTCTATAACAGCTTCTTGTCAGCTACACATCCTTTCAGAGTGCAGTGGAAGGATGGACAGAAACACCTGTGGATGTTTTCAGATCTGAAGCAGCTTAATTTTCTCCTCTCTCTCAAAGAGAAAAGCTTTAAGTGCTGTTTATCTGATGGGGACAGTTTTGGTGTCTACCAGGTCTTCCAGGTGGTTGTTAGGAGTCCCATTTTCTCTGTAGCTTTTAATAATTTTTTTTTTTTGCACATGTATTATCTCATTCTTAGTGTTGGAGGCTTTTCTGTTAAATAAATGTTTTCTGCTTGTTTTTCTGGAGCTGAAAAATGAATAACTTACAAAAAAATGTCAGTTTTGACTGGAAATTAAATGAAAGTCTTTGACTTTTGCACAGTACTTTATTTATGTTTACTTTTCCTTTGTTGATTAGTTCTTTGTCCTCCAGGTGTGGAGTGTGAAATTGGAACAGGAAGTAGAGAAGAATAAGATTCTCTCTGAGGCTCTGCAGACGTTAGCGACCGAGCGTCAGCGGCTCAAGCAGGCGCTCTCTAAAGGCAGGACGTCTCCGACCCCCAGCACGCTCACTGAGGATGAGTTCTACGATGCTCTCACTGGTGAGTGACCTCCAGCACTGAGGACTCCACTTCCTGTCCTGTGATCTGAGGACTGACTCTCAATCGCTGTGTTCTAGCATTGCTTTCTGTCTGTTTTACCCCTTAAAGGGCCAACGTCATGGAAAACCAGATTCCACTGTTTTGATTTAGTATGTAAACACTGTTAACCTGTTAAAATGTACCATTAACTCTCCAGTCCATATGTGGCAGCACAGCCTGTTTTTGTGTTTTCACAAATACCAACACATTTACATATATGTGCCTATTCAGCCTACAGCAGTTTAGCCCCACACATTTACATTGAAGTTATAGTGTTTTAGCCCTGACTGCTTTTTATCAAGGTACAGTACAGAGCAGCCAATCGGAACAGAGCTCATTTACATACATTATTCTTAGGCATTAAGTATAGAGCCCATGTGTCAAAAACTGGGCCTACGGGCCAAGTCAGACCCGTGACACAGTCCTATTCGGCCCACGAAATTATTTGAATTTTCTAAAAAATTCTAAAAAGTTTTAATCTTATAAGCCCATTTTACTCCGAGATGGACTACAGTCCCCAGCATGCACTTAGTGTGTGTTTTGACCCCCTTCCCCCAACAACAATCTATGGGCCAACGGTTACACAAAGGGGAAAAATGCCTGGTTTCCAGTTCAAGCAAATAGGCAGTTTAAAAAAACTACCTAAAACAATTTATTTTTATTTAGAATTATTTTTAATTTTTAAGTTTTCAGTGCCTATTTTGCTGTTGCAGTTTTGGCACAATTTTTGGCATATTTTCAGTTTGAGGCAAACTGTTAAGTAAAAATGAAATAAAAACACAGCTGGCCCACAGATGTGCTGAGACTTTAATATGGCCCTTTTAGCTGTTGAGTGTGGCACACCTGGTCTAGTGGATAAAGGGAATCTGCATTTTCATCAGTTAGGTTGAGACAAATGCTTATAGAAAATGAGAAAGTAAACACATCGACTGAATCATGTCATTTAACTTGATTTAGAGGGCAGCGCAGAGTAATGTTTGTTAGCTAGGTAGCTAATGCTAATGTAAGCATGTGTACTTGCAGAAGAGAAGCTTGTGATTCTCTGTAACTGTAGACATTTGTGTGTGTGCACAACAGTGCAGTACAGCATTTCATGCCAGTATACTGCAATATTAGCTAAAGAATAAAGATGGAAAGGAAGCAGTCAGCCAGTTCAGCCACTTTCAACTTGATTAATGATTACTATTAAATCATTAATCACAATTGTTTGTATGGCAATTAACTGTCAGCTAAAATGTCATAATGTCATGGTTGTGACAGGCCTGCTGTAAATTCAGTAACTACTCTGAAGTGAATGTGTAAGTTATGTCGTAATGAGAGCGAAGAACTGAAGTAAGAACCCATATATGAACCTTTACAGTACAGGTTTGACTACTTGGAGAATTTTGAGAATTACTTTAACTGTAATCTCAGACTGTTTGCATATATTTATGTGTAACACAAATGGGTGGTTTCTTCAATAAATTCATCCAAAATCTGTCTAATGTTTATAAAATGTTTTTTACCTTAAACAAGCCTTTAGATACAGATATTCTGAGTAATACAGTGCAGTATTACTGCTTTTAAACATGAATGTGTTCTGTTCTACAACATTCAGTCTAGTTTAAACCAGATATAAATAACATAAATCATTTTAGGCATTTTCACAGTTCTGTCTATTGAAGAAAATGGTAACAATCACTGTTTCAATGGTTATAACAATGTAGTGGATTTCATACTCAGTGGAGCCATTAGAACCTACACCATGATTTCTGTTTGTACACTCAAACAGTGTGGTTCTTTAAGGGTTCTTTAGTAAAGAAAATGGTTCTATAAAGAACCATGAGCACTCAAGAAACCCTTTGCATGATTTAAAGGTTTCATTGCCTTATGAAAGGGTTCTTTTTCCAAAAGGTTCTATGTAGACCCATCTATGGCACATTCTGAAGAACACTTTCATGATGCAAAGAACCCTTTAGTCATGCAATGGGTTCTTTGAGTGTTCATGGTTCTTTATAGAACCATTTTTTTACTTAAAAACGCTTGATCTTTTTTAAGAGTGTATTTAATAAAATTCAAGGGTTCTGTAGAAAAGGGAATGATTCTCTTTAGAACCCCGTGTTCTATATAGAATCATTTGCATGCCTAAATGGTTCTTTGCGTGGTGAAATGGTTCTTCTGATTGATGAACAATGTGTTGTATATGATTCTGTATAGAACCTTGACATTGTGGCAATAAAAGAACCATTTTGGAACTATATAGAACCATTTTTGAAAAGGTTCTATGTGAAACCATATACAGTACATTCTTCATTAATCTGAAGAACAGTTTCACCATGAAAAGAACCATTTAAGTATGCAAATGATTCTATGTAGAACCATTCCCTTTACTATAGAACCCTCAAAGAACCTTCTATTTTAAGAGTGTAGTCATTCATTCTGCCCTCCACTGGAACAGCCTACAACCTCCAGCTTCATCCTAACAGTGTAAAAGTCTAAAAATGGACAAAATCTTTAACTTCTGTTCAATAAAAGATGTTGGCCAACGTGTTGGACGTCTGCAACCTTGTTTGTGTTATTTTTGTTGTTGTTTATTTCAAGTAACTTTATCCAGTAGAGTAATTTTATGCTACTGAGTGTTATACTTTTAGATAACATTGTCCAATGTATCGTCTGGTAATTGTTATCATGATATCAGCTGATGTGACCCCAAGGCTGCAACACTGCAAATCTATCAAGTGAACTTCTTAGCAAAAGCTTGAACATTCAGGCAGCCCATTACACAGTAAAGAGAACGCTAATCGCACTATTTTTCACCCCAGCTTAGAACTGTTTATCAATCACACCATGAACTGAACATCAAATTACAGCAGTTACTGCACTGATACCATCATTAAGACTACAAAGACTGCAGTAACCAAATATCTACTAATTAAAACATTACAGAATGAACTAGTTACTGAAACACAAACACCATCTTTGTGGTACGAATAACAGAACAAAAAAACTCCTGTAACTGAACTGTAGATAAAAAGATGAAAGCAAATCAGCAGAATCTAACAGAACTGCAAGGAACACTGGGAAGCACTGCCCCCTCACTATAACACTCAGAGACAGGCTGTTCAAAGCACAAAGTACCGCTCACTTTTCCAAAATGCTTTGCAAAAACATAAAGCTAATTACTGTATAATAAAACATTTTATCTTCTGTACGAAGAAGCTGAGCCTGTTTCTCCCAGAATGCACCATTCTTTACTGCAATCTGCTGTATATAAGGAAAGAGTAGATTACTGTGGGACTTTTGGGTCTGTACGTTTGCATCCGTTCTTTATAGTGTACAAAGTGCACCAGTCCGTGTGTACCTGATGTACAACAATATTGCAGAAGACTGCAATATGAGGATAAACCTCTAGACATTCACTGAACATTTTATTATTTGCTGTGAACGTCCTGACCAATCATAGACATTCTTTAGATGTTGGGCTGAGTTAAGGCGTTCATGTGATGCAGTAAACGTAAGTCATTTTGGATGAAAATAATGCAGACCAGTGGTTAACAATGGCCAGTGTGTTTTTAGTAGCCTGTATATTGCAAGACACATTGCAATCTCACTGCCAGTAATTGAATGTGGTTGCTATTAAACTTCATGGTTTGGGTGCATTAGTGTATGAAGGGTTAGTTTCCAAATTGATACTAATATAGGGTTAAACCTGACAAATGAAGGGTAAATAGTGGTAACATTTCGCTGTTGTTGGAAAAAAAACCTTGTATCTCCAAAATGGTAACTTCACAGGAGAAAGAAAAAAAAACTACTTTACTCTTAATGTAAGTCAATGGAACCAGAAGTTTTTAGGCCATTTCTTTTGGTCCATTCATCATGAAATTTGTACACAATGTAAAAAGCCAGCGGGCATTTTCAAATGACGTCAAAAATGGAGATGCAAGGTTTTTTTTTCCGACAGCATCGACTTACAGCAGCGATTTAAGTCTAAATGTTGGATAATAAACACCTGATGTTCAGTGCTGGTTTATTAAAAGATCCAAGGATAAAACATACGTTTTTTACGTTTACATTGAAGCCATTTAGCAGGTGCTTTTATCTAGAGCAGCTTACAAATGTGCTTTATTGTCCACTCAGAAAATGCATCCTAGCTAATATAAATAGGTCCCAAATGGACTAAAATACCAAGTTAAGATGCTGCCAAGAACAAGAGTCACTGCTGATCCCCAGATACAAAAGTACATAACATAGAAATGACCTAGAAAATTATGAACCAAAGATGTGGAGGACTTTACCCATTAATGTTCATCAGTACTAGTTTTAAAAAGCAGCTATTTTCAATGTTTTTCTTATGTATTTACAGCTATTACTGCAATGATCACCACATTTAAATACAAGGCGTTCTATCTGGATATTAACATTATTGTAACTTTTCAATGTTATGTTTGTTTATTTGAGATCAGTGAAGTTGCAAGGCCACGATGTTACAATCATTCTGCAACTACACATGCAACTAGATTGGTTTTATGTTATGTTGAACATCACATTGTATTTTAACATACTGATCATTGGGAGGCTGGGAGGACTGAGGACACCGGGAGCAGGTGTGGAGAGTTTTTTTTTTGTTCTGAACACTAAAATTGCTCGGCTTTCCAGCCAGCATACAGAATTAAAGAGCACATTCTCAGGGCCTTTTCAGTCCTTCTTCTTTCTCATGCCTCCACTGGCCTCCTTCTCTCTCTGGACTCTGCCACCAACTGAGAAAAGACATGGCTATAAGTAGGTGGGCAGAAACAAGACACAGGTGAATCTGATCAGCTGCTCAGCCCGCTGGTTCACCATGACTGGCTCTCCGTCCTTGCTGTGACGTTTGACCACACCCCCTTCTCCACACATATCCATTGATTCCAAGATTTTTTTCAATCCCAAATGTCCAAATGGCAGTTTGTATGTCATTGCAGTCCAAAGAAAAACAAGTATCTCCAAAATGGTGACTTTCCAAGAGTGAGCAAAAATGTTCTTTACTTTTAATATGAGTCGATGTAAAGAGGCATCATTTCAATCAATTTTGGAGCATTTCTATTGGTCCATTCATGGTGAAATGTTCACACAATGTAAAGGACGGCTGCTAATCTCACAAACAATGTAGAAAAATACAAATGGGAAAAAATGGACAGCGATGATCTGTTGTTTTATTATTTTAATTCTTTTTATTTTTGTTTCAGTTGCATAAACCAGTGATGCACTGTATGTCCAGAAGTTTATAGACACCTGTTCGTCCAGTATTATTTCTGAAATGAAGGGTATTAATAGGGAGTTTGTTCACCTATGCTGCAGTAATAGCCTCTACTCTTCTGGGAAGGCTTTACACTGGATGTTGGAACATTGCTGTGAGGATTTGATTGCATTCTGCCACAGGAGCGTTAGTGAGAAGAGGGACTGATGTTGGATGATCAGTTCTGGATTACTCCTACTTATCCCGAAGGTACTGGATGGAGCTCCATCAGTGCAGAGAATGCAGTTCCATTACTCCACAACCCAGTTTACACTCCTCATTGAGCATAGTGCGGCTGCTCCAATCTATTGGCAGTGCTTTCTGTGGAGAAGACACATGCAATGTATGCATGAGTGAGTGCACTTTAAAGGTTACTCAGCTTTTACTGACTTTTTGTCTGGAGGTGTACGCTGGGCTTAAAGGTGAGGTCCTAGAGAAACAGACCCGCTGAAAGTGTTTTGTCAGTATTGAGCAGCTCTAGTGTAGAGCTGCCAGGCAGCGTCTCACTGGAACAGGATCTCCCTAGGTGGGGTTTCTCAGGTGGAGGGAGGGCAGTGCATGGTAGACGGCAGGGTGTGAATTCAGCGAGACTCCAGCAGTCCGAGCGGGACGACGTTACTGACGCGCCTGTGTGTGTGTGTGTGTGTGCTCCTCCAGAGTGGTTCTTGGACAGCTGTGTGATCAGTTTCCTGTCTGTGAGCGGACTCTCCCACCGTTAGAGCGGCTGGACCTCTCGCTCAGCGTCAGCCTCCATCCAAACCCCCAGGGCCCTGCCAGCATGTCTGGGGATGGTAACCATGGCGACAAGGCTCACCATAACGGAGTCAAGAAACACAGGTGAGACTCAAATCCCCCCAGAGGCATTGGCGGATTAGGGGTTTGTGTGGGCGTGTGTATGGCACTTTGCTTTGTGTTTACTTCTTATTTTCGTATGACTGTAAACTGTTTGTGTACAATTCGTTCATTTATTTTAGAATTGGACTTAATTTTTAACTTAATTTGGCCTCTTATCTTTCAGTATATGGTATTTTTACAAAATCATGATGTAAATTGTTCATGTGCACAGTCCAAATCTGTACACCCATTGCAGATATTTGTGCAGTAACTGTTGTAGAACATTCAATTTTAATTGAATTTCACTGGTTTTCTTTCAGCATTGCAAATAATATATATCTTGGCAATTGAAATCATCTCAAATCTAGGTTATAAATGTAATATTTCAAAAAAGCCAATTACTGTAGATAAAATGGCTTAAAGCAAGTAAAAACATGTAGACATAAGTTAAATAATCTTCTAATTTTCTTACATACCGATACACCAACTAGATTTAAGATGTTTTCACTTGCCAAGACATCATTTTTACAGTGAATTTTTCAGTTATTTTTATTCTTGAAAGATAAATTGTTTGTTGGGGCACTGTTTATCCAGCAGAGAGCGATTTAATTTATAATTATCCTAGAACGCTCAGTTTTAATTGCATTTGGCTGCTTTTCTTTCGCTTGCTGTAAACATTACTGGGCAGAACACAAGTTGGCATTTGCTTGAAAGTTTAAAAACAGATTGTTCAGCCAGGCGTACGTGGTGTTTATCCAGCTCTGCTGAGAATAAACGGTGTCATCTTCACCACACACCCCTACATCTTCCTCACAGACAAACACACACATCGCCCTAGCCCCCCCCTCATGGTTTTTGCATGAGGGCGACATGGTAGCAGTCGCAAGCTGATCGCATCGATAGCCTGGGTGTCAGGTAACTGTTTCCAAAGCACCAGATCTGCTCCTGATAGCCGCCTCTTCATCGTCCATCTCTGGATTCACTGTGGAATTACTTTCAGTGCTGTGACAGGTCCAAGAAGAAAGTGCCTAATTGCCTATTTGGTTGATAAATGCTCTGTGAATGAATGAAGTCATGAAGTCATTCTACTCACTGACACTTCTAAGCCCATGACTGACATTTTGGGGGGCAGGGGGTCAGGTGAGAAAAGGGCAACATGGTTATGAATTAAGCTTGATCTAATTTACTGTATATTGCAGTCACTTGTATCAAGAGAGACAGCATAATTATACTTCAGATTGAACCAAATGTAATGTTAACAGTGTTTCCAGTGGCAGCCAATGTTAACGGTACTATCCATGCACTGATTCGAACCTCAGTCACTAGCATGCAAAGCCATGGTGTTACTCACTACACTATTGAATCATTGCATAGTGTGTATTTGGGAGCTGAGAACAGAAGAGGGAACTCCTGAGCATGGTTCTTCAAGGGTTATTTAGTAAAGAAAATGGTTCTGTACAGAACCATAAACACTCCAAGAACCTTTTGCAAGATTACAGGGTTCTTTGCATATGAAAGGTTCTTCAGTTTGATGGAAAATGTGCATAAACGTGCTACACATGGTTCTATGTAGAATCTTCTTGAAAAGGCTTCTATATAGCAGCCAAAAAGTTGCTTCTATTGGTACGATGTCAAGCTTGTTACAATAGAAGCACTTGGGTGATATATAGAACCCTTTTCAAAAAGGTTCTAAATTGAATCATCCACCACACATTGTCCATCAATCTGGAGAGCGCTTTCACGGTTCAAAGAAAGGGTTCTTTGAGTGTTGGTTATATATAGAACCATTTTCTTTGCAGTGCAGCATTATATTTGGTTGTTGTTCAAACTAACCACATTTTGGAATTTGGTGGTTTTTAAAGAGATTATCAGTGCTGCATTGGTGGGATTTCCAGCGCTGTGGTGATGTGTGACAGGTCAAACCACAGGCGGTCAGTAGTGCAATAGAGGAGGCACCCATGTGCGATGGATCTTGTAGAAACCAAGCCAAACCACATGCTCTATTTCTAAACCTCATCTCACTGAAACAGATCTTGAAGAACAATGGAGGCAATATAAAATCCAGATATTACACACACCAATCAAGAGAGCACTTGTACAGTCTGAGGGAAAAAGGGCAGGGTCTCAAGCCCCCCTTGGGTCTGTGCACGTGCCTGGACACCTCCCTCTGCTAGTGTTAAATGTATACTTGAAAATAATGTAAGATTTGGAAATTGAATCATTGAATCTTTGTCTTTTTCCTTTTTTGTTGAACATCTAACATGATGGAATCGAAGATTCATGTCAAATAGTGGAAAAATGGCAGTTTCATCTATAAAATGTGTCTGAATGTCAGAATAAGAAATCAAATAGCAAACAAATCATCTTGTAATTATGATTCTACTTTTTTGCTAGATATTTGACATATTTGCTGGATGAGCAGACACTGCTGAGCATAAACCACCACAAACTAAACAGAAGATGAATTCGACATAAATTCTTAAAACCTCATCTTGAAAAATAAAATAAATAAAAAGGTAAATAAAACCTCTAATCAGCAGGCGACAGTTGAACATTAACATTTATTTTGCTTTGTTTTTCATGCTGGGAGCAGAATGTCTCTTCCTGCACCCATGTTCTCAAGAAATGATGTCAGCATCTGGAGTATCCTGAAGAAATGTATTGGCATGGTAAGAACAATTTGTTGTCCAGTAGGGCCCAACCAATATGAAAATGTGGCTGATACCATCTTTTTAGAGGAAATTCCAATAACCAGTAATATTGTCTGGTGTACTTTTATGTATATAATTTAGATTTAGAGTTTGTATTCCCATAGTTTTAGTGAACCCCCTAAAATCCCAGGCTTCTCACAAACTAAGCTTTATTATAATAGTATAATAGTAACTACAGGGACTTCAGTACAAACTGAGCTATTCTTAAGTCATAGAAGTGTGTAATAAAACTTTGGGTCTACTGGTGGGCCCTGGCCATTTAAGGGGTTAAACAGGGCTTTACTATCTGATTGTCAACTGTGAACTATACAACTCAAAATCTTAAATAATATAAATATTCTAAATCTGTATCTCATTTGTAATTGTTTGTATTATAACTTGTTATTCTTTTGCTACATGTTTGGATACATTTGACATGTTTTTGGTATTTTATCTATAACAAGACTGAATACTTATTAGCAAAACTGTCTAAAGTTTTTCCTTATCATCAGGAGATTGCTAGTTCATATTGTGAGTGATCCCACGATTTAAAAAAGTCCTTAATTATCATTTGAGTGATATTATTGCAAAAACCAATTAAACTGCTTGTCAGTATTAGCTGATGTTATCAGCCAACTGAGATATCAGTGAGACCCTAATTTCAAGTAATCTTAACAACTGAATTTCATTGTCAGGTGAGTTTATAATAGTAATTAGATTAATAATGATAAATAATAAATAGCCTACAGTTGTTTGCTGAATACATGCCTGGCTGTTTTTTATGTGAAAGTAAGTGAAAATGTCTATAGGAAACAAACTTAAACATGATATTTTCTGCAAATTCCAGTGCACAATTTCTATTTAAGTTTACCATATTGGGAAAAAAAACTGTGCAAAATGTGCCATTGCTTTTACACAGGCCACAGTTTTATGCCCCCCCACCCCCAATATGTTAAAATCGCCAAGTAAGCAGTAATTCTGTATTAAAATGAACAGAAGTGTGTTCTCTGTGGAGCATGTGTTAACTTATTTTCACTTAGAAAACTTTTGCATATCACTGTATATAATACAAGGAATTTCCGTACTCAGTTAATTATGGCAATGACATCCAACTATCTATCTGTAGGCTGCATAATGATTTAAATTGAGTCAGTCCTGCCATTTGTTTATTTTTGTACTGCGCAGTATTGATTGTTTGGCATTGACAGTCTTTTTTTAATCTGAACTGCTGGTGCACTCATCTAAAACACAGACCAGCACACAGTAAACAACAGCCTCAGCCAAATATTCCCCAAAGCAGTCATTAGTATTGTGTAGTGTTCCTTGGAAGACAACCACACCTGCCTAATCCTTTTCTATATCTGGGCATGTGTGAGGAGTGTAATCTCCTCTCATAAACCCTGCTTTAAGAGGCAGCAGTGATCCAGCATGACTAAAGCCAGGCTTTAGCACTCACTCATATCAAGGTGACAGCAGAATGCCCCCCTTCACCCCCAACACTGACCGAGTGACACTGAGTGAAACAGTGAATCAGCCGGTAAGATTAAGATTGCAAATGCCTTTTCTTGGGCAGACTGATGGAGAAGCCCCTCTTATTCTCACTGAGAAAAAACTCCTGTGTTTCTGATGAGCAATCATTCCAAAGCCACTTTCAATCTGCATGAGCTACAGGTACCCCCACTCTCAGCACCTTTCAGACACAGATTTCAACTTTAAAATCATCTGCACTCCAAGATGGAATAGATAGATAGAGAGATAGACAGACAGACAGACAGACAGACTGACTGACAGACTGACTATATGGCCAAAAATATGCAGGCCATCTGTCTATATGAGCTTGTTGGACATCCCATTCCAAAACCAAGGGCATTATTATGTAGATACCCCACCTTTTGCAGCTATAACAGTCTCCACTCTTCTGGGAAGACTTTCCACAAGATTGTGGAGTGTATTTTTGGACATTTGTGCCCATTCAGTCAAATGTGCAGGCCACTGGAGTTCCTCCACTCCAAACTGTCTCTGTGTAGTCATGCTAAAACAGGAAAGGGCCTTTCCCAAACTGTTGCCACAAAGTTAGAAGCATATAATTGTCTAAAAGTGTCTTTATTGCTGTAGCATTAACATTACTGGAACTAACCTTCACTTAACCTTCACTGGAAGTAAGGTCTGGGGTCTGAACCAGAACACTGAAAAATGGCTTGAAACCATTATCGTGTTCTCCTGGCATCTGCCAAACCCTGATTTGTCCATCCACCTGACACATGATTCATCACTCCAGAGAACATGTTTTCACTGCTCCAGAGTCCAGTGATGCTGTGCTTTACACCACTCCAGCCAACTCTTGGCATTGCACATAGTGATTCTAGGTTTATATGCAGCTGCACAGCCATGGAAACCCAGAGTTAGGAGTTCTAGCAGTGCAGAAATTTCACAAACTGACATGTGGCAATAGTGGTAAAGAGGTGTCTACATACTTTTGGCCAGATAGATAGACATGTACTTCAATTTTATACGCATAATATATACACATACCAGTATACAAAAGTATGTATTGACAAGCATAAACATAAACAAACTAAATTGATAGGGAAAAAATATTCAGGCACTATATTAAAACATACATGTGTAGAGTTAGGGTTAGAAGATGGATGGATGGATGGATGGATGGATGGATGGATGGATGGATGGATAGATAGATAGATAGATAGATAGATAGATAGATAGATAGATAGATAGATAGATAGATACTATTTATATATGTCCTCCTTCTTAATGTAAATAAGATAAAAATAAACCAAATAAAAATGTGGTAAAATATTACTCTTAAAATCTGACTGCTTGAGGCAGAGCCATCAGATTGACAAATTTGTGATGTATAACTGGAAACATACAACATATTGATCACTGAAGGCCTAACAGATGGTCTCCACCTGCTCTGAGGCTCATGAGACACTGTTAAACTGCAGTTGTCAGCGTAACACTTTGGTAATTGGGTGCAATTCCCATACAGTCCTGTAATTTGTGTCTTTAACGTCTGATGTGAGTCCGATATGGAAGGCTGCCCGTTAATTTTGAACATCTCTAAGACAACCAGCCGCGCTGCTCAAACCAGATCTCTCTATAATAGCAAGTCAGATCTGAGTAATGAGATATCAGGCTATCAGCAAAATCGTGTTCTCTAACAATGTGTGATTTTTTGGTCTGATTTAAATTCAAATATGTGTTATATTTGTAGGATGTGAGTGCGTGTGTAAATGATAGAGGTGTACATCTCTGACAGTGCTTCATTTTGATTATGATTCTTTAGAAAATTATTCAATTTTGTTATAATTGAGAAATCTTGAAATGTAAAACAATTTGATTTTTTTTGGAACAGTTCATTTTGGAAGAGCAGTTTACACAGTAGAGGAATACACACAATTAAAGCAATACACCAGCCTTTTTTGTGGTTAGATTTTTACATTTTAAAATAGCCAGAGAACTTTATTTTGGCCAAATCAGCACATACTTTACTAAATATTATAACTGTTCTAACATTACAATTTTGATGTAGTTGAATCTCCAACTTCAGAATGATGCATTTTACGGCTGTAGTAAATGAATCTCTCCCCTCAGGAACTGTCTAAAATCGCCATGCCGGTCATCTTTAACGAGCCTTTGAGTTTCCTCCAGCGGCTGACTGAGTATATGGAGCACACGTACCTCATTCACCAAGCCAACGCTTCCACAGACTCCATCCAGAGGATGAAGGTAACACAGTTCACTTCTGCAATTCATTTATCAGAAATGCTGCTTTTAAAGGAATTACATTTCACTGATAAATAAAGAAATTGGAGCTAAATCTACCTTAATTAGCATTACTGAGAAATATAACATTTATTTCTTACAATACTTACTTACAAAATAATTACAGTAAAATTAATAAATTGCAGATATTTTAGCATTATAGCCCAGCATCACTTATAGTTGTGTCAGTGTAACAGCTGCCTACCTTATAGCTCCACTATAAAAATATACAGTTACAGACTGCAGCCCATATATTGCTGCGCAGTTTATCAGCCCCCCCCCACCATCTAATTCACCATTGGTCAGTTTCTGACCACAGGACTGATGTTGTCCAGATATCATTTGGATGGTGGATCATTCTCAGCCCAGTAGTGATGCTGACATGGTAGTGTATGTGTTGCTGAGGTTCTTACACACGTCAGCATCGCTGCTAGTTTGAGAGTGGTCAAAAATCCAGCCAAGAGCCGCACTGTGGTCAGAAACTGACCTTTGATAAGGGACTAGAGGATGACTAGACGCATCAAGTGCCAAAAGGCCATAGAAGACATAGAAGAACCACTTTTTTCCCTGAAAAACTTTTCAATGGATGGTTCTTTGGAGAATCTTTTCTGTGAATGAGATGTATGAGTGTGAGGAACCTTTATAAAGTTTATGGAACCTCTACGTAATGCAAAGGTCCTATGCAGAACCCTTAAATTGGTAAAGAAACTTTACGTTATGTGAAGGTTCTTTCCTCACACTCGCATCTCATTTACCAAAAAAAGGTTCTCCAAAGAACCATCTACTGAAACCGTCCAAATCTGTCCATCAGTCATGGCTCTAGGGAAGCAAAAGTGGTTCTTCTATGGCATCGATTAGAGAACCCTTTGTGGCACCTTTGTTTTTTAAAGAGAGTATAACAAATTGTGCATCGACAGATGAGCTACAGTCTCTAACTGGACACCAACAAAGTACGGGGTTCTAATAAAGTGGCTGGTGTAAGTGAATACCAGGTATATCCAACAATGCTTCTAGAAATGTACCTGCCTATAGGGATTAGTTCTAATCCTAACTTTAAAATACCTGAAACTGAGATAGTCCTGAAAAGCTTAAGTAGCTGCAGGAGGTTTCTTAGATTACTGTTGGATCTACACCGTGCGCCATGCTGGAGGCCATGTTGATCCTCAGGAGGAAGGTTGGGCTGCCCTGGCCTGAACAAATACAATGGACAATGTGATGAAACATCATACTGGAAGTGTTTAAAATTTTTATGAGGCACACAGTGATGCTTACGTAAGGCACTTTCTGCCTCGTCCATTGATTTGGAGCAAAAGTATGCTGTGTGTGCAGCATTGCTGATGTTATTCTCTTTTCTGTTTATTGTTTAACAGTACAGTCTGGGTGCTCGTCTGTTAAAAGCATTAGTAGCAATATTATAAACCTGTTCAGCCCTACGATGTGGTATAGGGAGAAAATGATTGTCATAAAATATTCACAGGTGTCTTTGTGAAGCATGCAGTGTCAGGTAATTGCAAAGGTGCAGTCAGGTTTCTGTGTGTTTACAGTGCGTGGCCGCATTCGCAGTGTCTGCTGTAGCTTCACAGTGGGAGAGGACTGGCAAGCCCTTCAATCCACTGCTGGGTGAAACCTACGAGCTGATCAGGTCAGAACTGGTCACGTGACCTCCTCACGCTAGCTCTGGGAACTTATCCTAGACACACTTTAGAGACACTGATCTGGTAGTATCAGTAGGATAAACTGTCTATCATTCATCATTTTATGTAAATGTATTTAATAACCAGAATAACCAAAATGATATATTTACATTAACTTGGCGATATAATTATTCTTAATTTAACATTTGGTCAATTTAACATGGGAGTAATGGGAATTGTGATGATGTGTGCATCATACCCATATATTAGAAACTCAAAGCCTAAGCAGGTTTCCTCTATGTCTGGGGTCGGCAACATACGGCTCCTGAGTCACATGCAGCTCTTTTACTGCCCTGTTGCGGCTCCACAGCAGTATTAGATTTTAGGTAAAAATAAAATAATCCTCCCTTGCAGTAAAATAAAGCTCTGCTGATCGTTCAAACACAGGTTTAACAATAAATGGTCTTAAATGTTGTAGTGAATGTAGCCTATAACTACTAATTCACTTTTTAACCCTGAAGATTGGCAAGCAGACTGCTGGTCACAGCAACACAGACAACAGTGTTGCCTAGCTAGCAGCTAACGAAAAGGTAAAGAGACAAATTCAAGACGAACATCAATAATTTGGAGACGGACGGACTTATTTGCATTTATAATCACTCCAGCTGGTTTCCTGATACGTTTAATCTGCAATGAGAAACTGTCAAACACTAAAAAGTCGCGAAGCTGAAGCTTCTCATTTTCCAGCTTCTTGTTCTAATTTTCCGGTTCCACCTTAAATATTGCAGCAGTTGCATTCTGGCGCCCCAGGCACCATTTAAGGTGGAACAGAATAATTTGAACAAGAAGCTGGAGAATGAGAAGCGACTTCAGCCTCGTAAAAAGTCAAACGTTCAGAGACATTTTACAAGAAATTATTCCATGTTTCCTGCCAGAGATGCGAGAAATGCGGCTAAGGCTGAGCTAAAGCTTAAAGCAGAGCAAAGAAGTCTGCGTTTTCATTTATATTACGTTTGTTAGCCTATACTAGTACATCAGCACGTACTGAGACATATTTACAGCCAAGATGGTAAAATGGACATAAAATGTTGAGGCTCCCATGGTGGTTTGTTTTGCTGAAAGGACAAAATGGCTCTTCTTAACATTTGGGTTGCCGACCCGTGGTCTGTGTGAATGCAGTTTTTTAAGAAATCATTTTTCCTCTGAATATCATCCTCATCCTGGCTCCTCTGAGTTATTACGTTGTTAAAGAATCAAAATACAACTATTAATACATACTACATTACTTCATAAGACTGGTAACGTCACCAAAACCTAAACAAACCAGCAAGCTTTGTCAAATATGTTACTTTAGTTACTTTTGCAATAGTAGCCTGCAGTTTGCATAATTGGTACAGTATTAAACTTGCACTAATGCTTTTTAGTAACTACATGAACACAAAGCATTCATGGCATATTCATAAACAGTGCAGTATACCCCCTTACAGTTACATAATCAGTTTAATTATTTTTTTTTCTGCATTATTTGGACATCATGTTCATGTTAAAAATCAAAATGATTTGTCCTTTACATTTCATGATTAATGGACCAATAGAAATGCTCCAAAATCATGTAGAATAAAAATTTTACATTAACTTGCATTAAAAGTTGTTTTAATTTTTTTTTGCCTTCTCCTGTGAAGTTGTCATTTTGGAGATGCTTGTTTTTTTGTATAATTTACATTGTACATATACATTATACATTTAATATGTACAAATTTATATCTAGAATATATATACATATACATCATACATATAAACATATAATGTACATATTATACAGTTTATTGTAATAAATTGAACCCACGCTCAGTGATGGTTATTGTAAACTTTGATATGTTCAGAAATACATTTAAATACACATTCCTTCCACATGAAATTCAAAATATATCCATATTGCATTCATCATTTATTGTTTAATAACATTCAGAAAGCATTCAAATTTATGACAATACACTGTGCTATACATTTCATTACACTGCGCATGAGTATCATGAAATATTCACTAATATTTCCTAAGGTGATCATCTTGAATGTGTGATAATGTAATTTTACTGTAACGTTACAGTGAAGTTCAGACGTACTCAGGAGTACTTCATGTACAAGTTGCTGCCTAGATTGCCTAGATTTCATATGAGTTATGAATGCTTTATGACCATAAACACTTTGAACAAGAAGGACTGTAGTTTGGATTTCACTTCAGACTTACTGTGTTCATAAGACTGTAGGCTCAGATTTTAATTTATATAATTGAATTTATTAGTATACACAAAACACCATCGACTGTTTCCATAAACTTGTTAATTATTAATGAATATATTTACTGAATGTTTTAAAATGATAATGTAATTGTGATGGAGTGTTACTGTACTCTTTATGAGTGTACCATGAATGCTTCATGTACATTGTAGTTCCTTACTCACATGCAACATTATTTCAAAGCACATGGGTGTTAAATTGTTACAATAAAAATGAACAGATGGCAAAAATCATCAGCTTTGGAACTTTTCAACGTTTTTAAATGGTATAAAAAATAGATAAACATTGAGAAAGAAAATATCTGAGAGGTTTTGTTACGACAGTGACAGTTTGCTAGTAATGTAATTGGTAGTGATGTAATCCTGGTGAATGTATTTTTGCAGATTTTTTACATCGTTTACATTGTTTAAATCTTTCGTCCTGATTTTATAACAGTGTGATTCTTTCTAGTGCTTTTAAAAATGAGTTATCCTGAAGTGAACTGAGAGCTGACTGAAGCTATCTGTAGACACCACAGTATCCTCTTACACTCTCTATCTGCCATCAGAGAGGACCTCGGCTTCAGGTGGGTTTCTGAGCAGGTGAGCCACCATCCGCCGGTCAGTGCGTTCCATGCTGAAGGTCTGAAAGACGACTTCCTGTTTCACGGCTCTATTTACCCTAAACTGAAGTTCTGGGGGAAGAGTGTGGAGGCGGAGCCTCGCGGAATCATCACTCTGGAGTTACCCAAGTGAGTGCTTTAATCTGGATACAGTTTACCGCCAATGGAATTTTCAGTAGAGAAGTGATATATATAGTGGCCATTCAGTTAAAGCTGCACTATGTAAGACTGGGGGGGTTGGAGACCTCTTTGGTGGAAATGTGTAATTGCATGTAACATGGGGAGGAACAGTTTGTATGTCAATTCTTCTTCGGACCCCTTCCCTGAGGGGATCAATCGTATGATTGCGCACGCATTGAAAGAGAATTCAAAGAAAACTCTGTCAAAACTTGGTAAAACGCTTGTTTTCCGAGGATGTAAGTGAATCATTTACTACTGTCATCATATCTTCATTAGTCCAGTGCTGATTTTGCCTTTGAGAGTTAAACATCAAGCCGGAACTTCTTTTTGATTGTATGCATGTGATGTTAATGCATTAATATGAATGGCGTGGTCCGAAAAACTTCTGCGAATCCAACCTGACGTCTCTGACTTTTAAAATTATCATACAAAAACATACTTGGTGCAGTTTTTCATACAAAACTGTATAATTCAATATAAAATCCTTCAATTAATTACAGAAGTGAGGCACTAAGGGTAGAACAGCAAGACTTGGTAAGCAATCATCTAAATCTAACTTGGTTCATAATAAGTGTATCCACTTGCTTTTTGACAAGTTTTTTACTTTTTACAGTTTCCTAAATGGTTCTTGGCTTTGGTATATGTTTCCAGGGCCAAGCTTTGATTGGTATAGAGCTTTTACATTTTGTCAAGGTCACTCTGTCGCTGCGCTCCCTTTCTCTGGTATCCTGTGGCTACAAACCCAAGAATGGACCTGCTCCGCCTACCTGATAGCAATGGTCAAAGTCCAAACCCATACCTTGAGCCCGTCGAGCTGCAGCTCAGCTTGACCTGCCATCCGTCAAGACATGTGAAAGACAAGCACTAAGATTATTCTGGCACCCATGAACTTCCCCTCGCTGTCTGAACAGCTGAGTCCAGTGCCGTCTTCAAACGCTGACTGAAGACTCATCTCTTAAAAAGGCACTTAAATCTGCACTAATCTGGCACTTATGATATGTTTTCTCTACATATTGTGTATCTTTGTATCTAGGTATCAGCACTGACTCTTGTTTCTGGAAGTATCTTAGCTCAAGGGTATCTTTAGTCTATTTGCACTGGATTGCTGTGCATCACATTTCCCTAATTTCCCCTCTTCCTCCAAATGTAGTTTATCAGCTAAGACATGATTGGTGTCTGAAATTTGCTTTTTTTTTTATTTGGGAGCACCGGGGCTAACATGGCTAGCAAATAATGGAAGTATTGTTCTATTTTTGTGTGAGAAAGGAGTATGTTACAATAGCTTAAAGGGGAATTCCACTGATTTTTCAAAATTTCTACATAATTAAATGGTTAAGATGTGCTGTTTCAGAGAAACTTACAGGCAGAATTGTTCACAGTGGTGGTGATAGGAACCAGACGTCTGAAGAGCTTAATGTCTCTAAAACCACCTCACACAAAGTTATTACATGAAATGATTATGAAATACTATATATATATATATATATATATATATATATATATATATATATATATATATATATATATTTACCATTTCCAATGGTAAATGCTGAGCATTGTAAGGTTAAATAGGGCAGCAAGGGACCGTTATAAATATGCATATCTTCACACTGAGGTTTAGGAATTATTAGTTGTTTGGGCATATTTTATTATTCATAATTATCTATGTTTTAACGTACAACTTTAGTATCCTGCCTTCCAGGTGTTCCACATGTGTGTGTGTGTGTATGACTTTAGGAGTGCTTTAAATGTATTAGTTATTTACTGTTTCTACCCCAACAGACACAATGAAGCGTACACCTGGACCAACCCTACCTGCTGTGTCCATAACATCATAGTGGGTCAGCTGTGGATCGAGCAGTATGGCAACGTGGAGGTTATTAACCATAAGTAAGGGCAAGTAAGATTACATAACTTCATGACAGAAATGATTCTGCTTTAGGAAAGAGGAATTCGCATATCGCTGCTGTTGTGAGGACACCTCATTCCTCCTCAACAGCTACTCTGCAGAGGATGTGAAAAATGTCTGGGCTTTCTGCTGCTTTTGCCTAATTATCACCAAACTCCTGGGTGCATTTTTAGGAACTTGTCAAAATGGAGATAGAGGTGGCTTTCTCACAGTGATATCAGTGGAATGCAAGAACAGATAAAAGGTTGCTTTTGCTTTGTGCAGAAAAAGTTTTTAAAGTTTTCTTGCTCTGTTATGTTTTCAAAAAGAACTGGGGAAAGGTGCAGTCTGACGTTCAAGTCATGCGGCCTTTTTGGCAAAGAGCTACACAAAGTGGAGGGTTACATCCTTGATAAAAGGTAAGCACAGTGTTAGAGTTGTGTATTTTAGTGATTACTGCTGAAGAATATAGACTTGTGTAACTTTATTTCTGTATACATTTGAAGATTTTGTAGAATGGAGGTCTTGCTCTGTGCAGTATTGTGAAAAGTCAGAGACCACCTTCATTTATTTCCCGTTAAACCGGTCATTAAGTACAAGTAGCTAACTCTAACCTTAACCTCAGCCCAAAACCTAATCCTAACCCTAACCCTAATCCTAACCCTAACCTTACCCAAAACCTAACCCTAATCCTAACCCTCATATATTTTTGATATGTCTGTTAAGTGTTTGTTTCATCTAAAAGGATCACTCAAAAATTATATTTAGTTCTTGAGGCTTCTGTGTCATTTTCTGTTAAAAATATGTTTTCTGTATTATTTAATGATGCTTAAAAATAAATATCTTGGTCATAATAGCAGTTTGACCAGAAATTAAATAATTGAAGGGTGGTCTTAGACTTTTGCACAGCACTGTGTGTTTTGTAGTGGTTATTTGAAGAAATACCTGTTAACCTGATTGAACATGACAGCAGAACTCTTTAACTAATGTATGTGTATTAAAGGACTGCATCAGCCAAAAATGCTAACACTGTCAAACATGACTGAACGCTAAATCATGCTAACTGGTCCCAGGTAGCTTTAACACATTTAGCCCCGTCAGCATTTCTGAGTGAAGTATTCCTTTAAAAGCTGCCTACATGTGCATTACGCTTTGGCTGCGAAACTGAGTTGGACGACTGCAATTTATGAGCAATTTATGTGAATCATGAGTCAGCGTTTTCGGCTTTGACTGTGATATAACACGTTGACATGTTTGTACAGCAAAAAGAAGATCTGTGCCATTTACGGCAAGTGGACGGAGTGCTTGTACACCGTAGATCCAGCTACGTTTGACCTTCACAAGAAAGCGGATAAGAAATCTGCTGAGGAGAAGAAAGGCAGCAAGCAGGTGTGTGGCTGGATAGCATGTGGTGACCTGTATGTGACCTCTCTGAGTTGGTGCATTACTGAATTAGAGATGCCACCTCAGTGTCATCCATAGGCCTCAGATTAAGAATCTAACAGAAACCAACATGAAACATATTACAAACCCAGTTTCAAAAGAGTTGAGACAGAAAACAGTGCTTAATAAATCTACTTTCATCTGTAGACGAGACATTTGAAAACAAAAACAGCTTTTCATTTTGATCATTTATTTGCTGGCACTACGTTTTCCTGACCTGTCAGTATTCTAGTGTGAAGGGAATTCCATTGAAAAAAAGACTGTCTTCTGGACAGACCAGCATTTTAGTGGTTTTCAGACATTTCCTCTTAAGAAAGCAGCCCCAGTTTAGAGAAATGTATGGCTGATAATAAAACAGCCACCGTTTTGCTGCTGCTGTTCCCCTTTAGAGCAGCGTGGATGAGGAACCCGAGGAGATGCCCCCTCCAGAGGCCGAGACCGTGCAGGTCATTCCAGGCAGCGAACTCATCTGGAGGATATCACCCAGACCTGATAACTCAGCTCAGGTAGGAGCTGCAGCAGGGGAGGGGAGGGTCTTTGTGAGAGTGCTCCTTTACCTTTTTAGAACTGTTATTATGAGTTCAAGACATTTGCATTTATGAAACTAGTGGCCACATTTTATCAGACTGCTGATCTTGGATCAGTTTTCTGGATCAGTTTTTGCCTTTTTGCCTGGATTTGCTTGTCATATTAATATATTTTGTAAAGTTTATATACAGTAATAACTTATATCATGTAGACTTAAATCTTATAAAATATACACCAAATATTATTTTCAGACATTTTATTCCATATTTTAGTATATTTTAGGATCAACAACAATTTATTAAATGATCTACTGTGATTCTCTGTTTACATATTTCTTGATAAGTTATCACCACCTTTCAAATAAGGGTCATTCTGGACATTAATGTTATTGTAACTTAATTATCAATGTTAAACAGCTTTTTGGGTCATTTTAGAATCATCTATAGCGCCGTTAATCAATCTGGACACACCTAAGATATCCAATTTTTCGAAAGCGTGCAGAACTAACATGTTAGACTAATTTTACACATTTATCTGCAACCAAATTGCTTTTATTTTACTTTATTGTTAGTTAGTACAAACTTTTGAATAATCTGCTTAAACCACTGAGTTAAGGTAAAAAAAATAACAAATTAATTTCAAGTCTACAAATGGAACTTAACTTAATTAAACTGTTCATTCTAAAGTAGACATTTCCTATTTATTTACTCTTTATAGTATTTACTGTTCAGTCACATTTCTGAAAATATAATTTACTTGAGCAAAATAAGATCCTTAAAACTCTGTAGTAAACTATTATCATTTCCAGCATGGCGATGATTATTTATAAATGTTATAATAAATGTAAGAGACCCACCATTTCTTCATATTTTTGTTATTTTACATCATTTAAAAACTACATCTCCCCTTTATATTGTGTGAACATTTAATGGCAAATAGAGCCATCTGAAGCATCTGTTTCTGAGATATGAGGTTTTCTTACATCAGTTACACTGTGATTTGTGCTGTCCTGCAGTACTACGCCTTCTCCACCTTTGCCATGCAACTGAATGAGCTGGAGGACGACATGAAGGAGAGTCTGCCTGCTACAGACTGCCGTCTGCGGCCCGACATCCGTGCCCTGGAGAGTGGAGACATAGGTACGTATTACACATCTCTACATTGGCTCACATATGAATCACAAAATACCACAGACAGCACAAAACAAATGAAAATGTAAAGGGTTAAATCACACTAAATAGTGACCCATATGAAAAAAATGTATTTATCAAATGTATTTTTGCGGTGCATGAAAATGGCCAAAAAATGTATTTGTTAAATATATTTTTTAAATGCATTTATTTGTATTTGTTATTATATTTTTTCAATTGTATGTAGTTTTAACAAAGGCTATAGATATAACTAAATGGTACTGACTGTGTTTGGCATTGTACTTTGCATTAACCACGTACGTATGCAGTAAGTTAGTGCTCACACAGAATCTATTTGAAATCAAGAAATCAAATCATAAGTGGATTTTGACAGTGTATCAATACCGACAACACTTGCTTTTGCCATGTTGAAGGTTCATTTGCTAATATTTAAAATGAAGATACTGGAATATAAATTGATTTCAAGTGGTAAAGTGCATTAGACAGTATTTTGGCTATTTTCATACATTTTCAAATGTATTTAATAAATACATTTGCATACATTCATTTTGTATGGTAAATTTCTACATGTCATATTTCCCCATAGACTTCAAAATAAATGCATTCTAAAATATATTTGGTTAATATGGGTATATATTCTGAAATACATTTCAGTGTTTGGAATGTATTTTAGCATGGATTGCAGTGCATTTCAGATGTATTTCAAATATATAAAAACACATGTCCACGTATTTTTTTCTATATGGGAGAAAAGAGCCCATCTCCAATTTCTATTTCATATATGTGGAAAATTCTTTTTGTGGTGCTTTATCAATTCTTTAAGCTCACCATTATATAAATCTGAAGTTGGCTGAGGAATGAATAAAGCAAAACTCCCTGGAATTAACTAAACACTGCTATTGATGTGAGCACCGTTTAATATCACAGGTCATTTTTCGGTATGTGAATGGAACAATGTGGACGACTGTTATATGTTTGGGAGCTGAGAGTACAGGATGAGTTAATGCAGCAGACCTTAAAGGGGAAATCCACCGATTTTTCAAAATGTCTGCATAATTCAGTGGTTGAGATGTAAACAAAGTCATTCAGAGTGGTCTGATGTGAAAAGGTTCACTGTAGAGAAACTTACCAAATCAGATTTCTTTACAGTGGTGCTGATAGGAACCAGGGGTTGCAATGTCTACAACACAAATATAGCCATTTTGTGTACTATCCACAACTAGTGAACCTTCATGTGTCTTATGAATTTTTATATGTAATGTTGATGATAAAAAATGGCAATTTAATTACATTTCAGTCTAAAACATTATCACAAAAATATCTTAAAACAATGTCTCAGGCATCAGACAGCATATTCATAACCATTTCATGTAATATCTTTCCGTGAGGGAGCTTTTAGAGGTGATAAACACTTTGGACGTCTGGTTCCTATCACCACCACTGTGAGCAATTCTGCCTCTGTTGTTTTCTCTAGTCCACTGTGATTACCTTTGTTTACATCTTAACCTTTTAACCATGCAGAAATGTTGAAAATTTGGTGGACTTGCCCTTCCTACAGTAAACTGCACAATATTTTAGGATTTGAAAATCCCATCTACTCCTCCTAATTTCTTTTGCTTAAAACTCAGCAAGTTGACCTTTCAGCTCCGAGTTGGCAAAGCCTGAGGGATTTCAGGCCCACGCAACTATATGTCTGCGTGTGCTTTGTTGCTAAGGATGAGTTAAAGTCAACACACTGTTCATTCTCAGATTTGGCGAGTGCTGAGAAGAAGAGACTGGAAGAGAAACAAAGAGTGGCACGAAAGAACCGATCCAAATCGAGCGAAGACTGGAAGACCAGGTTCGTGTTTCCGCTTTTCTGTTTTCGCTCTCCTTCTGCTGGCTGCACCAGCTCTGCTGCCCTGTTACGTCACGGCAGTGTTTTGATGTATATTACACTGACCCTGTGAATCATGGCTGTAAGCTGATCAGAGGTTTAAGCCATGTGTCATTCATTAAAGCCTGTAGATGAGCTGTACAGTCACATGCAAAAGTTTGAACAACCCCAAATTATGTTTTATTGAAAATAAGTTGGCAGCACGGTGGCGCAGTGGGTAGCGCTGTCGCCTCACAGCAAGAACGCCCTGGTTTCGATTCCCGGTCAGGCGACCAGGGTCATTTCTGTGTGGAGTTTGCATGTTCTCCCATGTCTGCGTGGGTTTCCTCCGGGTGCTCCGGTTTCCTCCCACAGTCCAAAAACATGCAGTCAGGCCAATTGGACGTGCTAAATTGCCCCTAGGTGTGAGTGAGTGTGTGAATATGTATGTCTGTCTGTCTGCCCTGTGATGGACTGGCAACCTGTCCAGGGTGTATCCTGCCTTCTGCCCAATGACAGCTGGGATAGGCTCCAGCACCCCACCGCAACCCAGAAGGATAAGCGGTTTAGATGATGGATGGATGGATGAAAATAAGTTAACACCTCCTCCACAGAGGACAAAAAGAAATTTCATACATTTTTCAAAGCTCCTGTATAATTCTGTCATTGAAATGAAATGAATGAATAAAGCAAAACCCATAGGAATTAACTAAACACTGCTATTGATATAAGCACCTTTAAATATGACAGGTCATTTTTCGGCTCCTGCAAGATTATGAATGTGAATTGCACAATGTAGATGACCGTTTTAATGTACGTTTTAATGTTTTAACATGTTTTGACAGGATGTGATTTTGTAGTGTACTAAAAGATAACTATAGTTTTCTGAAAGAACGCCTTCATCTGCACTCACTGAGTCATACTTATCATGATTTTTTTTCTCCGTGTTGAAAAAGGAACCCATGCATCGGCCCCAGGTTCGTGTTCCTCTGCAGTGTGTTTGCTGTGTTCTTTCTTGCTCTAAATCAGGCCCGACAAACTTAAAATGATCCCAGCGCTTTTGTTTACAGCACAGTTCTCAAACTGCAGTTTTAGGCCCCAACAAACCTCCAACCCCAGAGTTCATCTTCAACCAGCTCCATTTTACCCGATAATAGGGCTGTTTGATTATGGCAAAAATCATAATCATGATCATTTTGGTCGATACTGAGGTCACGATTATTTAACACAATTACTTACCGACTTTAGAAACATCATGCATTTATCAAAAACTTTGTCTCTTGAACAAATAATTGAAAGATGCAAATATAAATAAATAAATAAAATAAATTACTACTATTAAATAAAATAAAATAAAAAATAATATATAATAATAATAAAATATAATATATAATAATAAATAAAATAAATAAACTACTAAACATATATACAAATAATATTGATTAATATTATAATATTAATATTAATATTATGCTGGGCTTCTTGAGCATGGTGAAAGCTCACCGCTGTAAAGGAAAGGGGTACGCTGGATTTATAACACAAGACAAAACCAGACCAGGCGATTATCTTGTTCTCATAATCATTAAAAAAGCCAAAATTATTTTATTAAAAATAAAATGTGAATAATCGCCCAGCCCTACCTGAGAATGGAGCAGTGAGTTGCATCTGGTTTGTTGGAACACAGAAAACAGCTGTTTGGTCCCTCAGGACTGGAGTTTGAGAGTTGTGCTCTGAACATAAGCCTTGTGATATTTTTGACTGCTCTGAGATGATGGTTTGTAAAGAGCTGTTAGCTCCTGGGTGTGGAAACAGAGATAAGGAGTGACTGTATGCCAGTGTGCTTCCTCTTTACTTCTGCACCCCCTACTGGCTGACTGAAGAACTGCAACAGTGGAGAAGTCAAGTCATACGCCTATAGCCTCTGTTTGCAGAGCCACACTGCCACTACGCAACCACAGCTTTAGGTTGAGATAAGATGTCAGAGTGGTTTGATGTGAAATGATGCACTGTACAGAATCTTACCTACTTGAGGTGCTTCACAGTGGTGGTGATGGGAACCGGGAGTCACAATGTCTACAATGCAAATACAGTCACAAATATAACTGCTATACAATTTACTATCCAGCTATATAATTTACTATCCAGAATGACCAGTAAATATGTCTGCACGTTTTCTCAGTTTTTATATGTTGTGTAGATGATGGTATAATAGTGGCAAAAAAATTTCTTTGGGGATTATTTTGCTTTACAGTGCTCTGCATGTACATCTACGCCATCAATACATTTTGCATATTGCGCCGCATGTGATTTTTAGCCTTGCAGTGTCTTTTGAGTACAGTAATGCCTTAAGATAACAGCTACAAGCTATTGTAGGGAAAGCCAATATAAAAAAACATATAATAACATTTTTCTCAATATGCAATCAATATTTAGATTTTTCTGAAATCTGATGAACACGATGCAGCAGGAAAACAGCCACATTTTGCTATAATCCTGTTTTTATTAGATGTTTTATATATTTTTATTCAACCTTTCACATACTGTGCTGCACTACATTTAGTTAACCCCTTAAAATCCCAGCCTTGTTACTTACGAAGGTTTATTATTCAGTAACTACAGGGACTTCAACGCAAACTAGTTAAGCTGTTCTTAGATTATAGAAGTGTGTAACAAAACTTTGGGCCAGTTGGCGGGCCCTGACCATTTAGGATTCTCCTTTTAATGAAATATCAACTTAAGTACTGATGATGTACACAATATGCTAAATAAGCATAGTGTGACATACAGGACTATGCAAAAGTCAGAGACCACCCTTCATTTATTTTTCAGTAAAAACCTCCACTTGGTTTTCCAGGACCCAAAAGCAGAAAAAAGGCCCTTAAAAAGCCTCAACAATCTAATAATAAGTATAATCAAATGTTTTGGTATTTATTGTGTCCACCCTTTACCTTTTATTACAGTTTCCACTCTTTTCAAAAGACGCACTTGTAGTTTTTCAAAAAATTGTGTAGGGATATTTCTTCACACCTCCCAAGTTCAGTCTTAGAAGTTCGTTGCATTTTCTACGTCAATTCAAAACACATTCAGTGATGTTGACTTCTGGACTCTGGGGTGGACAGTCCATTCAGAAACTGTTGGCTGAGAGTAAATGACCTAAAACACTGGTGATGTATGGTGGTAACGGGTGGCACTATATATGGCTACATATGGCTTACATACATTCCTGTTTTTAAGAACTCTGTTCTTTAGCTCTATACATGTGTGCAGACCTTTGCATGTGAGGAGAGGGAGGACAGAATAGTTAAATGGGTGTTTAATGTTGGTTTATGTGTCATCTTTTAAGGTGGTTCCACCAAGGACCCAACCCACACAACGGAGGACAAGACTGGCTCTACTCTGGAGGCTACTGGAACAGGAACTACTCTCAACTGCCTGACATTTACTAACTTAAACCTTCAGCACTACAAAATCCATACTTAACCCACCGCTGTGCATAACAATTCTTAGCCCGTTCGGACAGAATTGGGTTCAGTTATCTTGCATTTTCAACATGAGGCAGTCCATTTGGAGTAAAACTGGAAAAGAGGACGCATGCTTGTTCACATGACCATTATCTTCAGTGCAGAATGTGAATTATTGTAGCGCTGAAACATGCTGTGATGGTGAGGGAAGCTGTACGACAGTTAACTTGACTGCTTTTGTATTTACCACCTTATACAGTATGCTGAACCGGGAGGTGGGGGCAGATGGCAGATGCTCTTGAATATGCAGTGTGAGGTAACGTTTGTGTATACAGAGACTTGCATTTCAACTTCAGAGAAATAATTTATATACATATCATAGAGTTATATTTCAATAGCTGTAGCATTGTTGTAAATAATAAGGGTATAGATGAGAATTAAGTTTCTGTAGACTTCCAGTCACTAAATGAAATAAACAGTAGGCAAGAAAACACCTCATAATCCTAGCAGCAGACTAAATCTGTTGTTTTCTTGAGATAAATTAGATTTTATAATAGTCAGTGTTTTAAAGGCTAGATCTAGATCTAGACTTAACTTAATGCTGGGCTAAAAAGGAATGAATCTCTGCCTTATTCAGTCTTTAGCCCAGTACTAGGTTTGAACAAACTGGCCCAAAGAAGTAGGTAAACCATAGATCGCAGTTTGGTAGATACAAAATGTTGACATAGAAGTTATTTATTGAATAGTATATTGTAGTTCTTTGATGGTGAGTATTGAGAACCTCTCGAAGGTGTAGACCTGGGGTCATCAAAGAGCAGATTTGGACTGAGAGCAAGTTTTCTCCAGGCCTAACCCATTCTTTCAGTTCTATTGACATTATACTGAATCTATAAGAAGAAGCATTTTTGTGCTGCCACCAACAACTACTGAAACATTTAAGCATAAACAGGAGATATTCTAGCTCTCTCTGATAGAGGACAGACTTTTTTTCACAAGACAGCCGGCGTGCTGTCTTACACAAGCTGTGCTTCACAGCCACCGTGTTCTTTTCTAATAGCAACTGTTTACTTGCAGATGTGATGGCTGGATGGTTGGATAAGCATTTCAGAATGATTGCATAATAACATCATACTAAAGCATTTTCTATTATGCAAATTCTGAAAATGCACATTAAAAAATCTAAGAACACCAGGACCCAGAAATTTGGAAAATGCCTAAATATCACAAAAGGCAGTTTTACACTTGGATGAGGTGAAAAGGCTGGTTTATCTATAAAGGACAAAGGCAAAAAGCTGTGAAAGAAGCAGATTTTTTGAATAAGTGATGACATAGCAAGAACGAAAGACAGGCACTATGCCCTGTCAGAACTGTTTGCCATGCTGACATTCCCAGGAGTTTGACAGCGAAGTGGGAGAGCAATTTCAGCCCTTATTAAACGGGCCACTGTCTACCCTGCACAGCTTCTCTGCATTGTTAAGATTATATGCAGCTGACAGATGGCTGTCAAAAGTGCTCTATCAAGAGCTAATAAAGGTTCAAATCTTTCCAATTTTATACACCACGTGCTCGGCTCACATTGTGTGTGGAATTTGCACAAAAATGGTAGTCTGTGAAATGTTTGAATGCAAAACCTACTCCATTTTCCCCTTAAAGGTAATGTTACCTTTCTAACACCTCTGTGTGGCAGGCTATGTTATGTTAGCACAGCTAATAGTGTATATGCACAGTTCTGCTTTGCTTATGGCAGCTCTATCTTAGACTTTGACATCTGAAGCTTGTGAGAGGCATTATTGTAACATATTACACTGGGGTTCTGGCCCAAACAGCATTTGCTCTGGCAGAATTTGGTCCAAGGTCAAAGCTATTTGATGACCCCTGGTGTAGACGGAAGAATGTGTAGCCTAAAGACCAACCAATCACAAATGTTTTGGACATTCAGAGTTTGTTGAGTTGTTGGTTCAATGTGAAAATAAGCTAGACGTCTATAAAACTATTTAAAACATGGAAAAATGTCATTTTTTTGGTCAGTTTTCCACTCTGAAGCATCAAAACTATACCAATATAGCATAGGACAATGGAGTCTCTATCATTTTTTTTTTTCCAACGACTCCCACACCACACCCACAAACTTTTAATTAAAAGCACAAAACTATTTTAACTATGCAAAACAGTCAGCAGTGTGCACAGCACACCGCTTGGACACCCTTTTACTCAGTGTGTTTATTACTCTTTTGATTAGCTCTGACCGCTGGGAAATCCTGAAAAAATCAATTCACTTTTGAAATTAGGTGCAATTTCTCCTCTTTGGGCAATGTGTGCTGTTATGAAAGTAAATATTCAGAGGGTCGAGTGGGTTCATACATGAATTCACCTCAGTACCTCACTCCAGACGGGGTTCTTTTAGAGGTGCATTATGATTACAGGAACTACAGGAACCTGTACAGTGTTGGTACATTGTGCCACCAGACTGTAGACACTGTAGCATTTGAGCCCTGTAAAGTGCATGTTTTTAACTGTACTGTAAAATGTTTGTGAATATCATAGAACAGAGATCAGTTGTTTGTATTGTTGCGAAATAAAGGCTTCCCTTTTACTCTTCCCTAACTGTTTGCATGCTTGATGGACACAGTGGACACCAGAGCTTCATGTTCTGGCCTGCAGTTGCTGTTGTTGACAATTAAAAGGGAATTCTACCACTTTTCAAATGATTTGCATAATTAAATGGATAAGATGCAAACATCACTAGTGGTGGTGATAGGAACTAAGTGTCTAAAGTGTTTAACGCCGCTAAAAGCTACATCACAGAAAGCTATTACACAATATGGCATGAATACATCGCCTGATGCCTGAGATGTTGTTTATGATAGTTTTGTTATAAGGTTTTAGCCTAAAACAAATATATTATGTATGGTCAAGAGTTACATGAAGGGCATAGTCCCTAAAGGAAATGTATTTATTTCAGATTTACCAAGATTTTACCATTATCACCGTTACATATAAAACCTCTGAAGATACATGCAAAGACATCTGAGTCAGTAAGTTTCCCTACAATCCACCACTTCAGGTTTAACTATTTGGAATGACTTTTTTTTTTACCTTTCAATGAGTGAATAATGTAGAAATTTTGAAAGACCCATGGAGATTTACACACAGGCGGTTGTGAGGCAAAATACTTCCCAACAAAAACTTTTCAGATGTACCACTATTTTACCATTATCGACATCACATATCAAAAGTCAGAAGACGGGTAACGAAACACATCTAGTTATAGCTCAGAGAAAATCAGATTTCCACAGCTTACCCCAAATGTACTCCATCGGCCAAGACGTTTGGTGTCTTAAGTTAACCCCTTAGGATTCTAGGTTTATTTCACACAAAGGCTTATTATTCAGTAACTACAGGGACTACAATGCAAACTAATGGAGCTATTCTTAGGTTATAGAGGTGTGTAATAAAAATGGCTCGTTAAGGGGTCACATTTAGTTTTGCACTGGAGCTTTAAGGCTAATGTGGAGGACAAGTAAAGAAAACCTACGCAATTTGTGATCATTTTATGTCTAAACCATCACACTCGCCCCACACAGCACTGAGACGTTAAATAATCTCAAACAAACTTGCAGATGTGGTTTCTGACACTGTATGACTTACTGTAATCTATAAAAATGGACAAAAGTACAGACAAAATTCAGGCTCTAATATGGCTGCTACTACTGTTTTTAGCTATGTGATGTACTTTTGTTCATTTTTATCAACAATGGTATGTCATACAATGTCAATATATTTAATCAAAACAAGACTGACGGCTCAAGACCCATAAAGACCCAGTCAGTATGTCTATTGGTGTATTGCCCACTGCACTGCTGTAAAACACGTCTGAGGGATGGTCCGTGCTGAAATGTCTCTCCAGCTTCTCTCCCTCTCTCTTGACTCAGTATCCTGATGACAGACTCTTTCAGCGCTGTTGTTTGAGATAAAAGCATCTCAGGACATCATCTCTGTAATTACCACATCCTCTTGAGAACAGCAATCACTTGAATCAGACACGTGACTCTCAGCTGAAGCAGAGTTTTGAGACTCATCCCTCTTCACTTGCCGGTTCTGTGAGGCCTTCAGAGTCTTCTTTGTGGATGGTCACTGCTGGCTTCTTGAATATTCTCTATAACAGTCAGGCAGAAGTGGTGCACCGACAAGTATGTTCTCAAAGCACACTATCTTCCCTATGTAGTGCACTTCGTGGATCATGAAATAGCAAATCCTTCACCCAAAGAAATGTTCGACTAAGTCATCTATAATCAACATTAACAACAGGTTACAAATTCCCTTTTTAAAGCTCAGCTGCTGGTTAATGATGATCGTGTTTGAACAGTAGCGCACTATGAAGGGGACATTGAGTGATCTGAGACGGTGTTATTCTCTTCTCAGAAAGTAAACACTGCAAGCGAGACGAGAAAGCTGAGCTGTGCAGATTGAACTTTTTCAGCGTCTCGTTCCAGAGCTCATTTTGGAGACTGCTCCACAGAAATACGTGTTAAAAGCTTTAGTTTCGATTCACAGCTGATTCACCGATTGTTTTTCTTTGATGCTAAAAGCTTCATTTTATATTATTAACGAACCATAAGCATAGGTTAAACCACACAGACCATGACATTTCTTCTATTTCAAAGTCCCCACAGACTTCTATGTTAAAGTTAACCTTGCATTCTTGCAAGTAGCAGGTGGTGGTCGCGAAGATGACTCAGTAAGGTTTGATGTGTTGCCCCCATTCGCCGCTATTTTCTTTCGGCCTGTTCTGCAGACAGGGTGGTCATCTTCAATTAACTTTCCTTCTGCAGCCTTATAAAACCCAAAACATGACCAAACGTCAGACTTGGTCTTCTTAGAAGGCTGAAATATCTCTGAATCTCCGAGTTTTCACACCGCGGTAATCGACCACGGTTTTAACGATACTTTAAAGTTCAAACGGTACTACTAACCGTCATTAATTTTACCGCGGTTTACCATGAAACCGGTAACCGTTTCATCTCTACAGGCTATATCCCATAATATTCAGTTAGGCTTGCAAGATTCCCTGTAAAAAGTAAGGAATCAAAAAAGTTTCAAATCCTTTAAATGTCCTGTGCTTAAGCACAGCTGGCCTAAATTGTATTAACCCTGCATGGAAAGTGAACAGCACTGCTAGTTATTTTTCAGTTAAGCCAATTTTAATTGTTTGAACTTTAAAACAAAAACAACCTTGGATCTCCACTGGCCTCCGGATTGTCTTCTTGAGAGCACAACTTACCTGTCTTGTGATCTCAAAATAACAAAGTTGTCATCTTGAGATCTCAACACAACACAATTAAGTTCTGATCTCAATATAACAATCCAGAAAATTATAGCCACCTCATGGTCTCACACAACTTCCATAAACAACACATTACTCGATTCATCACCAAATTAATCGCTAGATGACTCAATTAGTCATATAATTGATAGTGACAGACCTAAACAATAGTAAGTTTTGTATCATTACAGATCCAACATGAAGCAAACATCACAAAAATCAGAGTCAAATCTATAAAAATGGACAGCAGTAACAACCATCTTGAAGTCTGATTTTTGTCTGTGCTTTTGTCCATTTCTTAATACAGTAGGCCATCTGGCAGTGGTCACTAACCCTGGTCCTGGAGATCTACCTTCCTGCATAGTCTAGTTTCAACCACTACCTGCCACGCCTCCTCCAGCTAATTAAGTCTTCACAAGTCCTTGATTGGCTGGATCAGATGGATTTGTGTTGGGTATGGCAGGAGCAGCATGTTAGACACAGGCTGGAACTAAATATGCAGAAAAATACATCTGCAGGAGAAGAGTTGATGATCACTGCCATACAGTGTAACAAATGCAGGTAGGTGATAAGAACCAGGGGTCACAGTGTCTACCGTGCAAAAATACCCATTTTATTTGCTTTCCAAACTGACCAGTAAACCCTCACGTGTCTTCTGAGTTTTCATATGTAATGCTGATAACGGTAAGTTATAAGTTAATGAATAACTTATTTGTCTTTTTTAACTGTCCAATTATGCAGAAATGTTTAAAGATCTGTGGAAATCTCCTTAATAATAATAAAGTGTAGATTGAGGTAAGTGTGCTGGTGGCGTATAATCTTAATAAAGTGCTGTAAATCAGCTCCTGAATACTTTCTGTCTTACAATACAGTTACTGATGCTGGAGGCCTAAATGCTCTGACGCCCTCTACTGGGCCAGATGAGAACTGCTTTATATTCCCCACCAGTATGATGACAAACCCTGCCTCCTGCTCTGCCATTGGCTGGGAAATTCATCTCCTAGGTTATGATTGACCACTGCTAGCCAATCACATCGTGTCCACAGTGTCCAACAGTATTAATGTTAGTCTCCACTTGGTTTCTTTTAAGCAGCACAAGTTGAAAATAAAATTGCAATATACTGGTTTGATTTTTAGCCATACTGATCAAGTAATTCAGTGTCAGCCTCATTTGTACCACCCTGTCTATCACAGGCTCATTTGATAAAACATACTAATATGCCTAACCTCCCAAACCCAATTTATTCTCCATAGATTCAGATAAAATTAATTACAAAAGTAATCTAAAGAAAAACCCTCAAGGCTCGATTTGATTAAATCAGTCATTAACTCTAGAGAAGTATTTAAAAACCAAACACTGTCTAATTACAGTTTAACCTCAGAGATAATTCCTCCTTTACTCTCTTCTTGTAAAGCAACTGTATTTTTGTTGATAAACCCTTCCCTACTAATGCACTGACCACTTTCAATGTGCTACTGAATTTTAAAGCAGCCAAACATCAGGTATTAAAATATTTGAAATGATACCGTATAATTATTTAGCCATACAGGGATATATAATGAATGTTTATATTTACAATGCACACTGGTATATATAAAATGAATACTGATATGTATTGAAACATCATTGACAGATATTGAATGAACATAAAGGGAGGGGTTTCTGATAAAGTGGC